ACCACTTAGCTGAGCACCTGAGGAATGGATTTGCCACCCGAAGAGATGGGAGCAAGGTCTTGAGCTGATTTGGGAAGGGATGTTCAAGATGCCTACTGATGTGGTTTTTCTATAAAATGGAATATTACTCAGCCATAAAGAATGAGAAATTAGACTCATTCATAGGAAAATGGACACATATTGAGGATATACTCCTAAGTGAAATAAATAAGTCACACATGTGTAAATACCAAATAGTTTCTCTGGTGTGAATAAACTGTAATAGTACATAAGATCCTAATGAGATAACTGACATTGTGAAATGGGAAGAAAAGGGCTAAAGGTATAGGGAAGGTGGGAAAAGAAAAAAGTGTGAGAAAATGAAAAGATGGAAATAAAGTGTTTATAAATGGGGAGGGGAGGAGGAGGTGAAGGGAGGGCAGGGACAAGGGGAAAAAATGAGAACCAAGACCTGTCATGTAGAGGTACAAGATCCCAACAATGAATGTAACTGTACTATATCCCTAAAATGTACCAATAAACTCAATTTTAAAAAATGCCTACTGAACAGCTAGGTGCAAGAGACTACTCAACAGCTGGATCCTTAAATTCAGCACAGGTCAGTGCGTTACAGATGGGATTTAATGCCATGAGATCAGATGAAATAACAAAGCAGTGCATGCAACCAGACAAGGCAAGTCAGTGTGAAGCAACTTTGGACACAAAGAAAACTCAGTAAGGAGGCTGAGAATAAGCAGTGTTTGTTAAGTTATTAGAAAAGTTATTAGGACAAGTGTGTATTAAGTCTCTAAAAGGAACAGGCGATGGTGGTGGATTTCAGTCATTCCAGCTACTTTGGGAAGCAGTCAGGAGGATCATGAGTTTGAAGCCAGCCTGGACAATATGGTATGACTCTATGTAAAATAACAGTAACAAAGAGAACAAGAAAGTGTGAATTGAAAACAACTAAGTAGAATAAAAAAATATTTCAAAGAGGAAAGAGTGACCTGAGGAATATGAAGTCATAGACTGACCTGACAGCAGCAGTTTGTAGAGGAACAGAAGCAAGTGTGAATAAAGCAGCACAATGTACAGAGCTGTACACATGAGCACATGCCTCCTGCCAGCTCTCTGCCACCTGGTGGAGCTCAGCCAGGGGACATAAGGTTAAACAGGCCCAACAGCTCTCTGGAAACAAAAGAGCATGTGCAGAATGACCACAGCCAACTCCCTGAGCCAGGGGCAGAACCAGCCACAGGAACAGAAGGGGCAGCACATTCAAGGTGAGTAGTGGGGAGGTAGGCCAGCTGGAAACTGCTAGTGAACATTTTCTCAAGATGACGGGAAATAAGGTCAGCAGCTGAGACCAAAATGGTGAAGGTCTGAGGAAAGAAACATCATCCAGGAGGATCTAAAGAGGACTTCAGCTGTCAACCATGAACATCAAGGAAGGACCACTGTATGGTGAGAGTGAACGTAGAAAGGTTGGTGGGAAGGGAACTGAAAGGGCTTGCCAGGGGCCTGCTCTATGTATGGCCAGGGTGACACCTCTGCCAGGAGGGCAGAGGACAGTGGGCAGAAGAGCCAGGTCTGTGTCCAGAAGAACCACAGAAAACAAGCACTGCAGCAGTGAGTGTACTACAGGTGTGAGGAATCACAGCAGGGGGAGCGGATGCCTGAGCAGGAGACATGCAAGGACTTGAGTTCCCACTGAGGGCAAGGCCTGGTTCTGTCACAGGCACACAAGGCAGCAGCAAGACAGAGCAAGGAGGTGCCTAGAATGCTGGGAAGCTTAGGGATATGACACACACAGAACCCAAGAAAGTGGGTCAGAAAGGGGGAGCAAGACAGCCTGAGAGAAGAGGAAATGTAATGGCAAGTTCAGGGTCTGGTATGTGAGAGTCCAAGGGTTCGAAAGCACCAAAGGGGACAAGAGGGCATCAACCAAAGCCCCAGAGGAGGGGAATGTGAGGAGAAAAGCAGTTCTACATGAGAGGTCTTTGGGAGATGCAAAGGCACTGCAGTGAGCCAAGTCTCTTTGAGCAAGAAGGGAAAAGCTGAAAATCCAGTGGGGTTTGTTATAGGCAGCAGAAAGTTCAGGAGCCAGAGCAAAGTAGAAAACTGCGTAAGAAATGTGACACAGAGACATGAGAGGCCTGGACATCACAGAAGGTACAGGGTCTCATAGCTGAGTGAAAGGAGAGGAAATGGGAAGCTCTGCCAGGGCCACAGAGAGCTCTGTGGACATCTTTCCACACCTCCAGCTGACAGGATGCAAACTGTGTGAACCTCTCAGATTGCAAGGAGTGCCTGCCACCTTTTTCACATGTGTCTCCCTGGGTTCTTACCCTTCTTCCCCATCCTGAGACATCTCTGTCTCAGTTCATCTGCACTATGTCTGACACTTACTGAGAACATGGTTCACACACACAGCAGGAAGATGACAGAGGCAGTTAGATGACAACATTGCTTCTATGCCATACTGATCAACATTGCAATACACAGCTTTGCTCTTTTTTATTGACATATTTTATGAAATATTAACAATATCAAGAGGAACAAAGGCTCTTAACAGCCTTAAACCTACAGCACCATCAAATGTCAATTAGGAACAAGAAGAAAGTCATAGTCGGGCATCCCACCTTACGGCTACGCTGATATTTTTTAAGTGGGGCATGAAAATTCAACTCCAAAAATATAATCACTGCCACAAATCACAATGCCCTAAAGAAAAAAGATTAAGTGTGATCCCTACAGTAAACCACTTTTGACATTGTTCAGGTGCCATGTTTTTCAAGTAATGTAAAACTGAGCTGGAAGAAACCACACAGATGTTCCCACAGCTTCTGTGATATGTACCACACAGTCCAACACAAAGTACTCTATTAGCAAAATACCACCCTGAATATTATGATGAACCAGCATTGTAATGTGTATTTTAAAAAAGTATTTTACTCTCATTCTATAATTCTTTTCATACAAGAGTAAAAACTTAAAACTTCCTTTTTTAGAACTTAAAATAGAAAATAATTCTTGACATAATACTAGACTAAATAAAATCCTTAAGAATGGTTTATCTTACTAACCTATTTCTGCACTTTCTTTAAAAACAGTAAGTTATGAAATATTGTTCTCTTCTTGTTTTGTTCCTTGGCTCATATTGATCAATATGCTATACTGAGGCTCACAATTCTTAATCCATTAGTCAAAATATCAATTTTTCTAGTCATTTACATAATAAACATAAACTGCTTAGCCTATTATTTTCTACTTGAAATCATCCATAGAGGCTAACCAGTAGCAAACAGCAAAATCATAATAATCATCCCAATACATCACTGAAGAGAATCACTGAAGAGACTTTAAGGACAATCTACCAACCAGAACAGCTGCAAATGGTTCATGGCTGACCAAGATAGCCTAACACTAAACTATACTCACTACACTAAAATTCCTGATCCTCTCTGAGCCCAAGCCATCTCCTCTGCACCATTTCTGTGCTAGCTGAGATGGTTTTTTAGCTTGGTTTTATTCTGTAATCCATTTAGACCTCTAGCAAGTACTTCTCTTTTAATTCCTTTACAAATAATGAGCCACTCTTGAAGAGCCAAAGGACTGAGAGACACCAAAAGGAACTTTCCTTCCTGTGCAGTGGGAAAATGAGAACAGGCTACATTTTGTTTTGATTAGACTTAATTAAAGTTATTTAATAGGGAAGGATGAAGGGGGTGAAGGGAGGGCAGAGTTATGGGGAAAAAATAAGAACCGAGACATCATGTAAAGTTACAAGATCCCAATGATAAATGTAACTGTATTGTTTGCTTTAAATGTAACAATAAATTTAATGGAAAAAAAAAGTTATTTAATTCATGAAGCACTATATTTTCCCCTTTATGATCTGTAAGACAGAAACAGCATATACCTCAGTCTGAAACATAATCCCACAGTACAGAAGGAAGTTTGACACCTACTCTTTACAGAGGCATGTTCTTCTAAATAAGAAAAGCTAATTTTAAGATCTACCACTTTAATAGGATTTTATAAAGATGACATTGTTGACTGAAGTTTGTAATTCTGAAATTAAATGAGCTAAATATTAAAGCAACTTTAATAGAGTCAGAAGAATAAAAGATATTTGTAGTTCCAGTCTAAAAGTTATCTGTACATGATGTAACCATTAAAAATTATATATACTGGAATATATATATATAGAGAGAATATATATACATATATATATATGTATATATATTGATCTGAGAATATTTTGATCTGAGAACAAAGCTGTAAATTTTACCAACACATTTGGATTTAAATTTATTACTTGTAATTAAAGGAAATAAATATATTTCTTCCTACTCAGTATTTCATATTTAAAGTAACTGTCTATTCTATACCTATTCTTAAAATTATGATTCTGAAATATAATTAGTTACTAATAATTTGATTTTTGTGAGGGATGGTGCCTTTCCAATATTTTTCTTAAAAAACTATATAAAACAGTACAGGATAAAAATCACTGCAAATTAATTTACTTATACTATGTTATCTCTCTGTTAAAATTATGTCATTACTCTTTACTTTACTGGAGGCCCAAAATGATCAGTAATTTAAACAATCTTTGACATGTTTACTTGGTTAGTAGCTGATAGCTAACAGTATTCTCCCAACTAAATGAAACTAAGAGTCTGGGGCCCCTCTGTGTCAAAGAAACCTGCTATCCCTTCCCTTAAATATCTGAACAGGAGGGAAACGCAGTACAGACCTCAGCCCTGCGCCCCTGCACCTGCAAGGTGTCTGCAGAGCTGGTGGTGGAGGTCTGCTGGCCCCCAGTGGCCACTGTCTCAGAAGGAGCTGGCCCGGCTGGTTACAGCTCAACCTAGCAGCCTCAAGGCCTACCCCCTTCACAGGGAAGTTCTTTGTTATCCTTAAGCCTCTGGGAGGCTTAGGTATTTATCTCTTTCTATTATTTGTCTCTTTTGATTAAAAGGTTTTTTTTAATCCTGGTCTAAATATACACATACCATTTAGCCGTCTCTGGAGTGCTTCTTCCTCTAGGGTAATAATATAAATTTGCTCATCCAGGTCTTCAAGAATCTAAATTTAAGGATAAAACTATTCAATAATGTAACATTACAAAGTCTGTGTTTATGAAAATTTTTAGGCTACTTGGTCTATTATTTTAAATAATGTATTCACTAAAATAACTAAGAACTCAACATAAAAATGCTCAAAACTATTTTTTCATAAGTTGTTTCCAAGTTTATATTTAATATTTTCATATTTTAATTATATAACTAAAGACATCAAAACTTGATTATCCAAAAATCTATATATATTTAAATTAGAAGCTTGGTGGGGGGACAGTACTGGTGATTGAATCCAGGGCCTTTGCACTGAGTTACTTCCCCAGTCCCTCCCTGTTGACCAGAATCTTACTAAGTTGCCCAGGCTGAGCCCAAACTTGTGATCCTCTTGCCTCAGTCTCCCAGAGTGCTGGGTTTACAGGTGTGTACGACCAGATAAACTGGATATTTTTTAGATTTAAAAGATCAAAATAAAGAATTCTGCAGATTCCTCAATGCAAACAAATATATAAATTTTAAGTAACCAAAAAGCTAAAAAAAAAAAAAAATAA